CGTGGCCTTTGCCCAGCTGAGTTTGCCGAGAACTGTCACCTGGGCCCGCAGCCCGGACAGGCCTCCGAGCCGCTCTGCCAGCCTGCGTGGAGATGCCCCCAGGCGATGTCTGTGGCCTGTCTGCAGGGAGGGGCTCCGCAGCAAGTCGCTGTAGCCCCCCTTGCGTGGGGGAGGCTCGCCAGCGAGGGGCAGGGGGTGCCCCCTGACTTGGAGCAGTTCCCAGAGGAGACAGATTTGGCAGTGCTGGCCAGTGGCTCACAGCACCCGCTCCTCGTGCTGCCAGGCCGGTGGGGTGGGGTGGGCTGGCTGCAGGGGGAGCGAGGGAGGGAGAGGAGATGGGCTGCCCCCGAGGGGCCCCGCCTGGCCTGGGAAGCCAGGGCTCCAGGAATCGCTACTTCCCCGGGCGGAGCAGGCCGGGCAGCGCTCCCTTTGCAGAGCGGTGGGGGCTGGTTTCGTGTCCGAGGAGTTATGACCCCATTGACACTCACCCCTCCCCTGCGCCTGGCAGCATGTCCTCAGGGGACCAGCGCCTGTTAACCCAAGGGGCCGGAGACCGAAGGGTTAATAGGCTGGCGATGCAGAGCCCTGCCCCAACACGGTGGTTCCACCCATGGCTGTAGCAGCGTTCCCTGGCATCTGCCCACGCCTAGCATCGCCCTGCAGGACTACAGGCTGCCCTGCATTCAGCTGTACCCACAGCACAGCCTGGCATGCACACACAGAGCAGCCTGGCTGAGTCATAGAGTCCCAGGCATCAGCTCTTCCCCAGCCATATGCTCTACAGCAGTGGTCTCCAACCTTTTTACAGCCAAGATCACTTTTTAAATCTCAGAACAGGCGAAGATCTACCGCCCCGCCCCTTCCTTGAAACCCCACCCTCTCTATTCTCCTCCTGTCCATCCCTTGCTATCCCCAGCCCTTACTTACACACTCTGATAAACAGTTTATTTTTAAATGATGCGATGGATAAAATTAAAATCACGTGTTTCTAGTTATGAAATAAATGGTCTGGTTTTTAGTCGTGCTATTTAAATCTAAAATGAAGCATTTAGAATTATACATTTTGTGGGGACAGAGTTCTGCGGCTGGGGGCAGGGGAGAGGGAACAGGGTGCTGGGAGGGCAGAGGGCAGGGTTCTGCAGCAGGGGACAGGGTGCCAGTGGGGACAGAGTTCTGTAGCTGGGGACAGGGGAATGGGGTCTGGGGAGCGGGGAGTGCGGACAGGGGACGGGATGCCAGTGGCAGCAGAGAGTCCCCTCCATCTGCCTCCTTCCAGGATTCCCCTCCCCCCCCAGAGGGAAGCCAGCATG